GGGCTCTGTGCTGGATGTGAAACCTACTTTTAAAAAGAATAGAAAGAAAAAATAATTTCTGGCAGTTTGTTTCTTCAGAGCTAGCAATAAAGAGAAAATCTTTGATTCTCAGAGTCTCTCTTTTTTTAAAAATTTTAAATGGTTATTTATTTTGAGAGAGTGGGGGAATGGACAGAAAGAAGGGAGAGGGAGAATCCCAAGCAGGCTCCACACTGTTAGCACAGAGCCCAACTCAGGGCTCTTTTTTTAAAGTTTTTATTTATTAAGAAAGAGAGAAAGAGTGAGTGGGGAAGGGGTAGAGAGAGGGGGAGAATCCCAAGCAGGCTCTGCATTGTCAGCAAAGTGGGGCTTGAACTCATGTACAATGAGATTATGACCTGAGCCAGAAGTTGGATGATTAACTGATTGAGACACCCAGGTGCCCTGACTGAGGCCCTCTTAAAGTGTTTACCAGATTAGGTGAGCCACCTAGTATAATTTCCCTTTCCCCTACATAGTCAACTGATTAGGAACCTTAATTACACTTGCAAAATCCCTTCACTTTTGCCATACAATTTAACATAAAAACAAGAGTGATATCCCATAATCTTTACCATATTCTGTTGGTTAGAAGCTGCTCCTAGTCCCACCCACACTCAAGGGGAGGGGATTACTCAACAGTGTGGTTATTAGGAGTGAGAATCATGGGAGACACCCTAAATGTGTTCACAACAGCAAAGATGAAGAGAACCCTAAAACTAAACACAAACAGAAATCAAATGAATAACATAACCACAGTGAAGGGTGGAAAAAGAACTAACCCAAGTAATTCAAATGTAGTAAGTAATTTGTCCTCAGGCCAAAGACAAAAAGATCTACAAAAATAATGAACTCCAATGAGTAGGTATGCTTATCACAATTGTATGCATTAGCAATTCTGAAACTACTTAATATGTATTCCAAGAATGAGCAAATAAGTAAATATATGATGGATAATGAGAACCAGGTTTTTCACTATAAGAAAATGGAGTTACAGGGGCACCTGGGTGGCTCAGTCGGTTAAGCATCCAACTTCGGTTCAGGTCATGATCTCATGGTTTGTGGGTTTGAGTCCCGCATTGGGCTCTGTGTTGACAGCTAGGACCCTGGAACCTGCTTCAGATTCTGTGTCTCCCCCTCTCCCTACCCCTCCCCCGCTCATGCTGTCTCTCTGTCTCTCTCAAAAATAAACAAACGTTAAAAAAGAAAGAAAAGGGAGTTACAGATGTGGAAAGGAAGGTTAGAATAAACATTGTGATGTTGGATTGAAATTGGAAGTATCCATATGAACTGATTTTTTTTTTCAGATATAAACAGGTATTTGTGTACACACACACACACACACACACACACGTAAATTTCCTAGCTCTGTCAGCAGAGATGGTCTAAGACCAATAAGCACACCTTATTACCTAGGTCTTGGTTCCTAAATATCGTTCTCCACTGAAAGCAACTATAATTTCTTAGAGAAATGGTGAATTCCAGGGCCGGGGCTGAGAAAGTACAAAATGAGCCTTTACTATCTGTCAGAAATTAAGGAGATGCTTAATGAATGATGGAGACATGTCAGAAAGACACAAGAGGCCAGCTTGAAGGGGCTCCCATTGGCCAAATCTAAGAAACTTTGAGTTAAAGGGTATATAGTACTCATACCCTCATGGTCACCCAATTCATTACTCAGTGGCAACCCATCAGCCAAGATCCCTCAAGAAAACAGAATTCTCAGGGGCGCCT